TGAACAATGGATCATCCCTTACATCATTAATGAAAAATGATGCAGAGGAGGAGGTAAAGGGTATTTACCTCAGTTAGTTTTGCTTCAGTCCCCAGTACATGGGCTAGTTCCAAAGAGTGGGTTGAGGCCTAGGGCAGCTTGAAGTAGGAAATCTGAGCATTGAAAATTAATATTCTAGGTACAAACATAGCAGGGAAAATGAAGGATTTAGAGAAATTACAATGGAAATTAAAACTTGAGGGTGGTAACATGCTTCAGCAAACACTTAAAAAGAGTACACAGCATTCCAAGAAAGAGTTGGAAAAGGCAAAGTCCTTGCCTTGCAGCAGCTCATGGTGTACTGAAGAAGCCAAATTATATGAGTAAGTCATTTCAGTAAATTGTTGACAAATGCCCACTAACGCAAGCACAGTTTTGAGAAGTGGCTGACCATCGTTTTGCATGAGCTTGGGCTTGGTATTGCTCTCAGTGGTATGAAGTGGGTATAAAACCAAGTGCATGGTTAAAACCACAGCTTTCTCCATCATCATTCATAGACTCATATAGGAAGAAGCACTTGGGAGATTTGCTTAGTTCTCACAGAGACCCTTCAGTGTCTGCATTCATTCCCTTTATTATCATAGTGATAAGTTTTATGTACATCAATTCTCGATTTCATTTAATAGCATTCACTTGGCATTTAGAGGTTACCAGGTGCCAGAACATAACAATGACTAAGACACAGTCCCTGACCTCAGGTTGCTTACAGTCTGAAAGGACTGAATGGAGGTCAATGAGCAAATAGACATTTAAGATGCAAGATGATAATCAGTGTCTTAGAACCACACATTCAGTGAGAAGGAACATCAGGAGGACAGCGCCTTCAGTCCACAAGAGGGAGGGAATAGCTTCCCAGAAGTGTTTGCACTGAAGCTTCTGAAATGAGTCAAGTGTATTTCCAAGACAAGACATCCCATGGAGACAAACAGCTGCTCAATGGCATGGAGGTGTAGAACCTAGCATGCAGAGACTACCCAAGCTCACCAGGTAGCTGAACACAGGTGGGAAAGGGTCAGAGAGGGAATGATGATTATCAAAGGCATCCATAGAATCATCTTCAAGGAGCTCTTGAGGAGTGTTTTTAGGTCAGTGGCATAATCAAATTTCTGAAGAAGAAATAATGTTTTACAACAAAGATAAAACCTAGGGGCAGGGAGACCAACAGGTGACAGCTGGCCAACTAAGATGAGAATAAGCCCATCCTAGGACAGTGTGGCCTGAGAGATTGGCATGAGGGATGATGCACATAAGATACTTGATGGCCTCCAAGTTTGACTAAATGTGGCTAGTTCAATAATTAGTGCACACCCAGGACTCTGGTGGGCACCAATTTGTGAGAAGGTGTGAGTGTCATCCAATGAGACCATGAATAAAAGAGGAGGAAGTTTGAAGGTAATGATTTCACATTGTATCCTCTGGAGAGTTAAGGGAGTTCAGGTGTACCTGAGAAGTTCATAAAGAGGATCCCAGTAAGGATTTAAACATGATGTTTCAGAAAGCATGGACAAGAGATGATGCAAAATGGAGAGTTATCAAAATATATTTAACTATATCAAAATATAGTTAAAGCCATGAGTAAGGAGACAGAGAAGTATATGACCAAAAGATTGGAAAGGCTTTCAGTGCTATGTTATGAAGGGCCTTGAATGATCTCACAAGGTTTTACAAGGTGAAACTGCTTTGTCTAAAGAAATTGTCCACGTAGGACCTGAATTACAGTTCAATTCATTAAACAAGCATTTATAGAGCATGTTGTCTGGACACAGGAGGAGGGCAATGAAGAAACAAGCAGAGTTGGCCTTTGCCTTTGAGAAACCTATCTCCTTACATGGAGTCCTAATTATTTTCACAATAATAAGCACTACAGAAGAATAGTATTTAAGAGTACAATGTCACTCTGTCTCTGAGGTAGCAATCCTGAGAAAGTGGCATGTCAGCTGGACTTAAAGGATGAGTGAATGACAGGGATGGCATTCCAGAGGAGAGTGCTTGGGTCCCTGAGGGGTGCCACTGTGGCCTGGGGAAGCCAGGGAATTGGGTGCTTGTGGTGAGGCGGTGACATAGGTGACTCACTCCCCTTGGCACATGGCCATGGGCAGAGACTGCAAGACTTGGGCTTGGAAACCAGGTCTGCTCCAAAGAGCATTTTTGTAAGCAGCAGGATACTCCGATAGGCAGGATAGCTCTTTGCTCAGCAGCTACCAGGCCTCGGAGTCCAGGGCAGGGCATTTATGGACAGTCATTGAGGAGAAGGCAAAGTGTTTGTGCCTGTTGAAGACAGTGTCAGTTGTCTGAACTTGGAAAGGGGCTGGTCTAGAAGTAAGGAGAGGCAGAGTGGTTAAGCAGCTAAGAATCAATGTGTTTTGGTCAACATAGCTCACCCGGGAGGATAACGTTTGTGTTCAGCAACAGCCGAACGTGCCTCTTTAGATCTATGCCTATCTAGGAAAAAGCTCAAAAGTCCATATCCAGCCCTGGCACATATTGGTCCTGAGTGGTTCTTTTGTGAAACACAACAAACCAAGTGGGAAAATAACCTTGGAAGGAAACTTGATTGATTTTTCAAAGAAAGCAGGAACTTCTATGAAAACTTATCCTACATCTACTAAAGCTATCCTTCCTGACAGCTTGTAAGAGAAAACAAAAGAGATTGTGATTCTATTTAGGAGGGGGGGGGAAAGCTTTTAATTTGTCTTCCCCCTTTTTTGGCCTTATTTTCAGTTCTTGCAGTCAGATTGTTTGACTAGAAGAAAAAATGGCTGATCAGGCATACTGATTCATTGTTGTTCTGTTGATACTGAGCACATTCTGTTGATACTGAGCACATCTTTACATTCCTTTTAGTCTCCAAATACATATTTTGAAATAATAAACTGTCTTATTCAAGGTAATGATTCAATATAGTTGCTTCTCAGTTTTTGTGTGTAAACAATGAAATACCGAAATTTTAACACCTCAACATTAGCACTGTAATTAGGTCTGTAAGCCTCTGTTTTGTCATCTGTAAAATGGGAATAAATAAACCTCTCCAACTTACAGAAGAGCACATTTTGGAACGTGAGTGAGGTGATGGAAGAAAGAGTACTTTAAAAATTGTGTCTTACCAATCAAACATTAGGTGTTCATATTTTAGTCATTTTTATCACTATGACCAACAAGAAAATTATTCACCAAAGACTCAAAGAATTTTTATATCTTCCATTAGGTCACTTATGTACTCTTCATTAGTTTCTTTCCCCTCAATTTTCATGGACACATAGGATAGCATCTTAGAGACATGGGAGTGCACTTCCACCTCCCTCCTGTTTCCTAGAGAAGAAAAAAGGAATACTTTGTGACTGGCAAAAAATATTTAAACTGTCAAATGTACTTAAAATCAGCCATCTTAATTGCAATGTGTACATCACAGTTTTCCTTTTGTTTCATAACAATGTTTCTAAAAAAAAATCACAAATTTTACACAAAGATGTCTGCTCACATTGCTGTAACAAAATACTAGAAGCTAGGTGGTTTAAACAGAGAAATCTATTTCTCACCATTCTGGAGTGTTTAATTCTATTCAGGCTACTTTAAAAACAAACAAACAAACAAACAAAAACCTCGACTGGGTAATTTATGGGAGGTACTTATTGCTCAAAGTTCTTGAGGCTAAGAAGTCCAATATCAGGCCATCAGCACATTCAGTGTCAGGTGAGGGGCCTGTTTTTAGAGATGGTACCTCTGGCAACTTCTTCATATGACAGGATGGGACAAACAAGTCTCATTTGCCTTTCATAAGGACTCTAATTCCATTCATGAAGTCCTTATGACCTAATCATAACCTAAAGGCCCCACTTATCAATACTATTACACTGGGGATATGGTTTCATCCTACCACACGAAGTCTGGCAAGTCCAAGGTCAAAGTTCAGGCAGGGTTTAATCTCTGGTAAGGGATCTCTTCCTGATTTGTAGACAGCCACCTTCTTGCTGTTGGCTCATGGCCAAGAAAGATGAGGCTGCCTGGTGTCTCCTACAAGAGCTCTACCCTTATAACCTCATTTAATCTAACTCACTTCCTTAAAGGCCCTATCTCAAGCAGTGATGTAGGGCATTAGACCTTCAACATATGCATTTTGAGGAGATGCAGTTGAGCTCATAACTAGATATAAATAAGAGAAGAAAATGAGTTCTAAAAGAATTTCGTAGCAATAGCATTTTCCGCGGGGAAGAAACATCCATAGGTCAACATTTAATAAGGGTTATATTTTATTATTTTATGTCTGTTTGAGACATGTATTCTAGATTCGCTACAACCAAAGAACCTAGCATATGTTATAATGTCCTTCCTATTTCTTCTTTCTCTCCACTTCACACCACAATGAAACCACTTTATGGGTTGATATTCACTGAAATATTTGTGCATTGACCCCATTCACAGGTTGAAACCTAATCTCCAGAGCATTTATGTCAGAAGATGGGTATCTTTGGGAAGTGATTAGGTTATGAAGGATTGCCCTCATAAATGAGATTAGTGAGTGCCCTAATGAAAGAAAGACCTCAGAGAGCTAGATAGACCCTTCTACCACATGAGAACACAGTTAGAAGGTGCTGTCTATGGGGATTATGCCCTTCTCCAACTCCACTGATGCCTTGACCTTGGACTTCCTAGACTCCAGAACTGTGAGAAATGCATTTCTACTTTTAAAGACCACTAGTCAAAGGTAATTTTATATAACAACAGGGACTATTAGCCCTACTGCCTCCTACCCTTTCTGCATGACTTCCATTGCTGGTCTTGGGGCATTCTTCCCTTTTAGGGGCCAACTATGAGAGGGTCATACACATGTATGAACCAGTCGTAAGAAAGTTTCAGATGCTCTAGTGTACAAAATGAGTCTTTGTGGGGTGGGCAAGGGAAGAAGTACTGAGTATGACTTTCATTCTTTCTAACTGCATCATGCTTTCTCTTTCCAAACTCAGGTAACTGTGACAGATGGTGGTTCTTCTCCAAAACAATCAACCATTTGGGTGGTGGTTCAGGTTCTGGATGAAAATGACAACAAGCCCCAGTTCCCTGAGAAGGTTTACCAGATCAAACTGCCAGAACGTGACCGAAAGAAAAGAGGAGAACCCATCTACAGGGCTTTTGCCTATGATAGAGATGAGGGACCCAATGCAGAAATCTCGTACAGTATTGTGGATGGAAATGATGATGGAAAGTTCTTCATTGACCCTAAAACTGGCATGGTATCCTCCAGAAAGCAATTTACAGCAGGGAGTTATGATATCCTAACGGTAAGATCTTCTGAATTCCAGCAATATTGATGGGAGAGGGTGTTACTTTCTTATTTGTGTTTATTTCTTTGAGTAATATATCTTTAGAGCAAAAAGTGCAACCAATCAGATATGGAAGACTTCTTTCTGGGAGGCAAGCATAGGTAAGACCTCTTGGCTATTTTGGTGAAATTCTTAAATAATGAAACAGTTCCCTTTTGTTGTGTCCCATAAGCCAATCTCTCCCACTCCCACAGTCTTCTGGAGCCTACATGCTCAACCACACTTCCTGTGTCCTAAGTCATTTTCAAGGCACTGACCATAGACAGAAACCGAGAGTAGGGGAATAACAGAGTGATATATTTCTCCCTAATATTCAACATATCAGTCAATGTATCCCCAAGACTTTCCAAAGAAAACAAATTTTGTAATTGTTGACAATGTGATAGAATCTGAATTTAGCTGTATAAATTGTGAGACACAAACCACAACGATGTTTATTCTGTAAAAAGCAAGAAAACAGTGACTAAATGTTTTGGTAAGTTAGAAAGTTAAAAATAAACACAAACCTAACACCATCTCAAGTAGAAACTTAAACTCTCATAGCTAATGTATCCATGTGCTGTTCCTACCCCAACCACGTTAGACATGGAATGCCTGTGCTTTGGGCATAGGGTACTGGTCATTCTTATAAGTAATGGACCATTTCAAGGCCCCCAAAATGTCAAGAGTCAGCATCCTCCAGCATCCTTTTCGTTGTTCTCTGCCTTCTCTGCTGTAGACAGTCTTTATTATATTAAAAGTCCCTTGATTTTTCTTTTCACATCTATGTTCTGGAACTAGGTTCCATCCCCTGCTCAGTACATGTCTAGAACAGTGGGCAGAGACAAGATAAGAAAGTGCCATCCTGTTTCTAACTGTTGGAAGCTTTGATGTGGTACATATTTATTACAGCTGTATGACACTTGTGGCTGGGAAATCATTGCGGATCGGATGGATTATAATGGACACTATTGGTGCCCTGCCCAGATCTCTTCTAACACACTGGTTCATCTATCCCCAACCTGCTGTGAGTGTTGCCTGCCAAGGGCTCACAGCTGCCCCCTCATCCAGAATATAATTTTTGGCTGATCCTTGACCCAAGAGATTCCACACTTCCACCCCCCACCCTAGCAGTCTACAGCCAGTATCTTAATGGAACCCAAAATGCAAAAGTTCAGTCCCTTTACCTTGAGGTGGATTAACCTCTTGCAAATTCAGAGCCCTACTGACCCCCTCATCATTGCTGAAGAAAGCATGACTCCTCAGTTTCTAAGCTAGGACCACATCCTTGCTTAGTGCCTGTCCTGATTTTTTGTCCTTTCTCCTGAAAGCACTTTCTTCAAAAACCACTTGGACTTAAATCCCTGCTTGACTCCTTAGGGAACTTGGCCCCAGTCATATATCTTTAAGCTTTCTCCTTCCCACGGGGATTTTCTGGGCAAAGCAGTCATCCATTAACACATATCAGAAAAGTGCTATGCATTGTTGCTATTTTCAAAGGCTATCACTACTGGTTCTGTACCCATCAATGTTATTTTAAAACACAATATTTAAAAATTCCTTTTTAAATTTTATTTTGTTTTGTTTTGGCTTGCCTTTTTGTCAATGTGTTCTGCACCTTGAACTTTTTGACCTTCCCGTTGGGTCCAGGATACTATAGCAGTCTCATGTTGCTGGATGAAGTCGTGCACCCCATAGCCCTTATGTGAGCCAGTTTAGGACCACAGAGGAGTCACCAACTCCATCCTCCCACCATGCTGCCTCCAGGAGCCCACAATGCCACTGAGAACTCTCCCTTTCTTTCTCACAGTTGACATAACTGAAGGGCCTTAAGGGCAATTCATCTGAGTCTGTGCCTTCCCCATGCCTATCTCACTCGCCCTTCCAGGCCTCTATAAGTGGAGAGCATCTCCAGAATGCAGCAGAAGGAAAGAGCTGCAAAACACAACCATGTGCACACACACCTTTCCACCCACAGGGATTCACAATGCACCTTATTTCCCTTTCGTCTCACCACCAGAGGAAAGGTTCAGGCTCATGCTATAAGGAATCAAATTAGCTATTCCTATTTATATAAACTATCATCCATGCCCATAAAGCACTATAAAGTATAAGTGCAACATCTGATTTTCAAGGTTTTTATATCGGTAAAGCTGGTGGTTGTTCAGATCAGCCCTTGCAAATATGGAGTGAGGTAGTTTCTCCCCCCATTCCAGAGTCCACTCTCCCCAAGTCTCCACTCTTCTCTTCCTCTTGCTGACACTCTGCTGAAGATAAACTCTTGGCCCAACACCATGTGAGTGACAGAGTTTAATTTCCAGAAGATCAGAGTTCTAAGACATTGTTCTGTGTTCTCTCTGTGTGTGAGTAGATCAAGGCCGTGGACAATGGCCGCCCACAGAAATCCTCCACTGCCCGCCTGCACATTGAATGGATTAAGAAACCACCCCCTTCACCTATACCACTGACCTTCGACGAGCCATTTTATAACTTCACAGTCATGGAAAGTGATAGAGTAACCGAGATTGTGGGGGTGGTGTCTGTACAACCAGCCAACACCCCTCTGTGGTTTGACATAGTTGGTAAGTTCAAGTCCTCCAGAACACTATCAGGCAATGTAATTAACTGTTTGGAACAACTAGCCAAAAAAGAAAAAAAAAAAAAGAAAAAGAAAAAGAAAAACTAACAAAAAAATCAAAAGAAAAGAAAAAAACTAATAATTAGTGCTGAGATTAAAAGATCCATAGTGCTGGAATGCAAAAGAGCCAGTAAAATGAATAATCGACCTGTGCTTTCGTTCCAACTCTGTAGCTCAGCTGAACAGAAAGTGCTCTCTGGCTGGATTTTCCATAGTTTGTTATTTACTGCAATCTTAATGTCTTTCTGTGTGTCATTTAAATTCTATTGTCACACTTGGCTAATCTCATTTCTAAATGTATTGATGGTACTAGACTTGCTGTCCTTCATTTCTCTCTTTTTCTTCACCTTTTTTTCTGCATTCTGTTCTTTTTTTTTCTGCTCCCGACTGCCCTGCTTCAAGGTGGCAAGCATGCTCGAGAGATGTTCTATATTCTACAGACAGCTTGTGGGCAGAACTGTTCAACAGAAGGTACCCTTAGTGCAAACACATTTGCTAAAATACAGCTATCCAATCTGCCTTTTATGGTTTTTGTTTTTTTTGAAGCAAATTGAATTACATCTTTCATAACTGCCTGTGACAGGCTGAAGTGCAGCCCACAGACTTCATACATGCCTCTAACAGCTATTGCATTACTAGTATCCAATGACTCCTTTGTTTGAGGTTTGATGGGGTTTGGGTTTTTTGGGTGGGGGGGTTAGTTTGGACTTTTTTTTTTTTCCTTTTATTTTGAGGTATGTGGGCTCTTTGTTGTTTTGTTTTTATCTTTTGGTAGGTTGGTTTATTTAACTGGGCCTTTTCCAATTGAAAAATAAATGTATTCCAGCCCCTCTGTTTTGCAGCAGTAGTGCCATTCATAGACCAAAAAGCCCCATCAGGAGAGTCCCCTGGCAGCTGTCCATAAAAGGACGGGCAGGAAATGGAACCTAGATATATAGCCAGTAAGCCTCCTGCGCAAGCTGAATAGAGAAAGCAGATGGAAGCATGCAGGATAGACCTTGGGAGCCAACCTTTAAATTCCTTGAAAGAAAGCAAGCAAGCATGCCAGGCTGCAAAAGGAAAGGGCAAACAGCACTGCAGCCCTCCACAAAACCGGCAGGGAGAGAGGCACTGGAGAGGAAATGAGTGCCCAGGACTAGGAAACAAAATAGGCTGTTGCTAAGAAGAGAGCAGGGAGAGTGTGTGCAGGCACAGACCTGACACTGTGTTGGGCTGAAGCTGACTTCCCACGCTTCTCTGTGGGAGGCAGAGAATCCAGGAGAAAGCTGGTCTGGGGGAATCATTTCCTTCCACATGTCACTGCCTGGACAGGATGGGCAGGAATCTGCTTCTCCTCCAGGATAGCTTGGTCTGGGGAAAGCATTTAGGATGTTCCACATCTGTTTTAATGAGGCACAGAGAAAGAATGCTTCATGGCCCCCAGTCGAGCCTCAGCAGAGAGTCCTCTGAACTCCCAAAAAGAAAAAGCTTGTTTTCTACACATTTCATTTTATGAAATGACAGTAGAACACCTTTGTTTTACTTAATTAGTGTTAATCACAGCAGCTCTGCACATGACCATCCTCATACCAAGCTTTTAATTCCTTCTTCATCTCCATTTGAAATGCATCCACTTCTGATCCACGAAAGATGCCTCCACTACTTTATCTTCTCAGTAATTTTCAGCTCATAAAGATATTATCTGATGCAATTCTTTCTTTTCAGGTGCAACAAAGTGTTGCACCTATCAGCATCTAGCTGTCTGTTGTTGGTGCAGTATTGGTGATACTCGCACTACTACTGCCAGTCAGAGTCACAGAAAATGCATTTTCAGTTTCAGCATGTATGCCTGCTACTGGGTCTTCAGGAGCATGTGCAATACTGATTTCTTTAAGCAGCTGAAAGAAAAATGCAGTAGAAACCAAACAGGCAAGAGAATGCTTAATGTGGAATGATTTGCCCTCTCTCATCAGCCACTGATTTCTCTCTCTCCTTCACACCTGGGTTTGCAAGCATCTCTACTATCTAAGGATGTCCTCTCTACTCTTTCCATGCATGCAAGATCCTGACCCATCCCATCCCACCCATGCAAACTATGACACCATTGCTTGTTCTCAAATTTAGAAATCTTACAAGACACTTTCTCTGATGCTTACTCTGACCAACGACCTGATTATCCAGATCAGGTTTGCAGTTCTTCAGCATTCCTATGTGTGTGTTCGTGTGTAGGGAAGCATGCCTAGTAGTACTGCATGTAACCTTACTTGAAAGTTTTTCATTCCAGATACTAGTCCTGTCCTACGTTTTTATTTGCATTTATCCCATCTCCATTCTTAACCCTTAACATCCACGCTCATGTCTCCTCATTCCTTCCTTCTGCCAAAGCTTCTGTTGCTATGTGCCCTGCTGTTTCCATTACAAACCTAAAGTGACTGGTGGAGATGCCCCAGGCAGCCAATATATTAACCCTGTTTAATGGTTTTGAGACTTATTCAGACTTAATGTGACTTTTCACTGTATTCCCAGCCATAGCAACCTCAGCATCTTTTAGCAAAATGGGAACATCACAGATCTAAGAAAAGATGGGTAGTTTATAGAAAAGAGCCATCATGCAAGAGTCCTTTTGGACTGTCCAACTATAAATCCAGGAACAATTATCCAGAACATGGCATTCTTTTGCATGTTTGTTTTTTATTCAATGCTGTACTCTTTCTTCCTATAGAATATCCTTCATTTCAGAGCACCCAGTAGTTGGCTTAATGAAGACTTTCAGAGTTGACCCTCTGGTCTGGATACCTCCATCACAGAGATTTCTGTAAATCTGGTAACATCTTAGCCAAGCTTTCTTTTACAAATTGAACTTACTGGGCCAGATGCCCAAACAGAACATAATTTTATTTCCATCCTCACATCCAGCCAACAACATCATGAAACGCCAACCCTTAATTTCACCATAGAAATAAAATCCTTTCCCCAGGTGCTGGTTGCTTTCAGTACTGCTATGGTCACCCCTCCACAAATCCCCTTTTGAAAATCTTTTTAATCTGTCAGAGTTTTTTTTTTTCCAGTCTGCTGACAACATCTTTCCCCTTCTCTAAACACCTATTGTTTTCTTTATCATATTCAGATGTTCCTGTCTTGCTTTCAAGATTCCTTGCTTATTTATCTTTGGCCATGGAAATTCTCATCTTTCTTCCTCATCTTTCTTCCCTTATTCCTTATCAAAATATCTTTTTTGACCAAATTAAGATAGGGGGACAGAGAGGGAGCAATGCCCCTTAGTGTTTAAGATTTAGCAGTGCATCATAGGTGAATGCTAAGAATATAACGCCAGCATGGAGCGGAAATGAGGTCTCAGATTAAAGCTCAGGTCTTGTCCAGGTAAATAGGCTTAGGAATCTTCCAGGTACAGTCAAGATTTATTTCCATTACAGACTTAATATATTCAGACACCTGTACAGATGGCTGAGATACAAAATCTAAACCATCCTGATCTAGTACTTACAGCTCACCAATGTTCCAATGAATTCTCATTAAGTAAGCAGAAGCAGTATTTCAGCTTGCTTTTTTTTCCCTGAGAGCATAGTGCCCTCATTTTCACAGTTTCAAACTTACCTGATTCTAATTTAACTGAATTTCTTTTCCTCCTATCATGATATGAATTTACAAAACTGGTGAGCAAGATTTTGTTCCCAAGCCTAGATTCTTGCACCAGCGATCTGTCAGGCACGTTCTTGTGTCTCCAAAGAGACCACTGCTTACACTGTTACTGAGTTAGGCTCACTTCAGCTTCCAGAAACAGAAGCCCTACTTATAACTGAGTTAAGAAGGCTGTAATTAAAAGGAAACATAATAAAGTTCAGCTGTTCCGTGTTTAAACAGCCCAACGCACAGCATGTTCCTCCTCTGTGTTAAAAGGGAAAGAAAATGAAGGGAACAAAAATAACCCATAATCCTTTGTGGTTTTTATCACATAGCTTCACACTTCTCAGGAGACTATGGTTTTGACTCCACAGCTCCTTGATTTACATACTCTCCAGTGTGCACACAATCTGGTTTACAGTTCAGTCCACAAATCTTTATTCTGATGGCAAATTATAAATTCAAATATTACACCATTATTACACAATTCCTTCTTACCTACATACTTACCTCAGTTTGATGGGAGATGCTACCACCCATTTCTTTCGCTTTTCATCTGAATGGGAGTAGAGGAATGCTTTTACTTATAGATAGCAAGCACCTACAATCTTTATTTGCCTCATCCAGTATATTGAGAGGACAAAGGCTATTCTGTGAAAATTATTTTTCTTATGATGAGTGCTAGCACATAATTGCAGCTTTCACTGAAAACACACACACACACACACACACACACACACACCCATATATATATAAACACATACATACATAGATTGATGTATACATTGTGGTACTGGGAATTGATCCTAGAGACACTCTTCCACTGATCTACATTCCAAGTTCTTTTAATTTTTTATTTCAAGACAGGGTCTTTTTAAGTTGCGGAGGCTGGCCTCCAACTTGCAATCTTCCTGCCTCAGCCTCCAGAGTTGCTGGGATTACATATGCGTGCCATGATTCCCAGCTCTCATTGAAATGTCTTTCTGTGTTATAGTACATAAAGGCCACATTGGCTCTTAGTACACAATAAGCTTCTGACTTCTTGGCTGTTGCTGCTCATAAATTTATGGCCTTTATTTCTTGAATCTTGTCTGCTGTGGAGTCATGGTTTACTGAGAATTGAGTCAAGGAAACAAGTTGAAATCTGATAGCGCTCAAAGTGACCTTGTTTTGTGACTAGTGCTTGGGCATCTCTGGATCTTCCTTGACGAGATGGCCTTATTTCTTCACAAAAAACTCCTCCTCACCTCTCCTGGGAGAAAACAGGAAAATGAAGCCAAGATCCCATAGTATTGCTGGGGATCATTTGAGGTCACCTCCATGTAACATTTATTTATTTATTTATTTCTAAAATGTGTCTCCATCAAAGTGAATTTTATCAAATTCAACTGACATCAAACACTCCATTTCCCCTGCTTGGCCATCTTTCCCATCCCAAATAGCTTTGCTTTTCTCCATAGCAACAATCTCATCCATAGAAGTATATCTGAAAAAACTTTAGGAAAACAATAATAAGTCTAAAAATACTCCTTATATTAATTGTAAGAAATTAACTAGATTCTAGAAAGAATTTTCGTCCTATCACCATTTCCTGAACTCCACGTGGTGTCTCCTGCCCTTCATGTCAATATCCTTTTCAGCCCAGTATTGTGCTTGCTTCATTCCAAGGCAGAAAATTATTCATGATCACATTGTAATTGGTATGTCATATTTTTCCTAAAGTTCGGTGTATGTGCTGAACTTGAATGAACAGCTTGTGCATGACTCCCTTAATTCATTAAGGTTCAGCTGCTCAGTGTTTTGGAAGTTTCTCACATAACACTTCCCTCTTGGACACTAACTAGATTTGGTTGGAAATTTACAATTACATGTGCAGAAGAATGGGAGGAGGGACCTAGAAGCTTCTCCACAGGAGAAACTGTGATATTCTCCACAAAGAGAAACAGTGGTGTTCTGTACCCATCTTTAAAGTAAAACTAGACTCTGACTTGGTCCAGTGCCCGGCTACACAGCACATTCAAGCAGTAGCTGCTGGCTTCAAATATTTTCATTCATGTCCTATTTTTAAAGCCTTTTCTAGGACATTCCTACTTGCTGTGTTTAACTTTTAGATCCAGCAGAAATCCAATGCATCTCTTCTGCTCTTTGTTTACTCTATTACACCTGTCTTGACCAAAAATGGTCAAAGAGAAATGTCCCTAATGTGAATTATCTGTTATGTGGGCTGTTCACAACCTTGCTTTTAACCATCTCTGCCGCACACCCCTGCAGCAACTGCTCAGGCTGTGACGTTTCTGATTTCCCACTTTGTTGAAACTCAGACCAGCTGGGCAGTGTCCTCCCGTCCCCACCTTTTATTTAGCCTCACGCTATTGCACTGAACACACTTTGGCTTTGCATGTTCTGTTACTGGCTCTGAGGAAGCACACATTGTTTAAATGGAATGCTGCTAGTGAAAATGGACTCCTTGCATTTGATATTCTCACCCTGGGTGATTTGGACATGGTTTCCAACAAAAATGGAATCACCTTTCAGGCTAAAAGGGAGCCTGAAAAATGAGACCTGGGGGAGAGACATGGAGTCATTTATGAAATGGGACGCTTAAGTGTAGGTTATTAAAGTGCGTGAGGTTTGATGGTGAACTGCTGGTCGAGATTCTGTGTCCCTTGTCAGAAATTCATTTGAAAACTCAAGGAGGATTTTGTTTTACATGAAATCTTGTCTTAACTAGGAACAAATGTCCTGGAAATGAGTATCAGAGATTTCTGGTCTTATTGGTAGACTGAAAAGTATTCAATAGCATCTCTCTCTCTCTCTCTCTCTATATATATATATATATTTAGTTATAGATGGACACAATACCTTTATTTTACTTATTTAGGTATATGCAGTGCTGAGACTAGAACCTAGTGCCTCACACATACCTGGTGAGTGCTCTACCACTGAGCCACAACCCCAGCCCAGTAGCATCTCTCTTAATTACCCTATACCCTGCTTTTCTAATAATCTACCTCTCATACCTTTAAGAGGTTTCTGGTCTGGAGTTTTGAAAGAGTAAGGTGGATGAAGGACATATACACAAACATGCACACAGAGGAAGAGACAGAACTATAAAAAAAAGATGTCATAAAATGATGCCAAAAGTATTACTTAATACCAAAAAAACTAGGAAAAAGCATACAATCTATATGACATGAGTAAAATATGTCAATTTTACACCACTGAACATATAGACTGATTATGTATATTTGTATATGGCTCTGCGAAAAACATAAGCAAGAGCATACAGAATTGCCCCATTTAACCAGTAACTGAAGCTTAAAGACTTAGCTTCCATATTCTCTAAATATTATTTTCATTTGGAGAAAACTGAAGTTTTATAACTTGCATTTCAGTTTTGTTTTGACGTACAAATTTTTACTTTCTGAAATAATCAACATTGGAGGATGCCCCAACCACGCCCACCAAATCAGAGTCTTTAGACTTAAGAATGTAAACAGGTTAGAGAAAGAAAACATCACAAAGATAATTTAAGTTTTATTTAATGCCCACCAGAAACAACTGGAGAAGTGGCATCCCTGTCTTTCTCACAAGTCTTAGGGAGTGATACCATATCTTTTCTTTGATAGTTTCTATGGCAAAGTTGTCTCAGAGTGTACCACTCAATAGCAAGTAATTTTTCTTTCTTTGTTCATTAAGATAGTTACACCAGCTACTTGAGTCAGCTTGCATTTTATTTCATGTGCTTATCGACATGACACATCCTCTTTGAATGAGAAGTAGTGACCTAAGGCTGGCTTCCTTTTCAGCCTAGACTGTACCCCTCTGTCCTTATCCTATCCTTCAAATTATTTTATTTTTTTTAGTTAACATTTAGTGCTTCTCAGCAAATCAATTAAATATATTAATTGGAAGATGAATCTCTTTTTAGATGAAAATTTTCAAAAAGTATATCATCTCTGAGCAATTTTCTGGTATTTCTGTATCTCCATAACTTTAATTAAATGTCAAGGGCAATTATATTCTCTCTAGAAATTAAATAATCTTAAGTTTATATGACAGCTGCAAGCAATAGGCATTTGCAATATGTATGACCATGTTTTTATAAAAAAAATAAAACATAATATTTATTATGAGCCACTATACATCAAATTCAGGTAAAATCTGCATGTCCTTTAACTAAGCTGCCCATTCATAATTGTAATATAGAAATGCATTGTTCATTTTTCAGCAAAATAAAATACAGAGGATATATAATGTAAGAAAAGCAAAGGTTATTTTTCTAAGATATGGAATTCAATAAATACATTGCACTATGTGAAGGAGTTAAATAAAAGTATTGTTCAAGAATAAAATTAACTGACACATGAAATTTCATACTAAAACAGAGTAATATGCTGATGTTTAATTGAAATCATTGCATAATTTTTTTACCATATATTCTCTCCCCCCATAAAAACCTTCATTTTGAGAAGATCATAAAACACGCTTTGGTTCACAGAGATAGAAACTTCACCAGTAATTTCAACAACACCATTGTTGTCTTATGTATACTGACCACAGGCTATATGACTTTTGCCTGACCCAGGGGGGACTACGTAGTTTTCTAAACTTTCATACAAATTATTTTCCAGTTGGTATTATATAACTTGATGTTTTCCTTTACTTTTTTCCCAATTTCATTCTGTGACTCTTTAATAAACTTTTTACATTTTTAGGAGAAAATTTATTCCCACTGTTGAAAAGGCAAAACAAATGTTTCTATAATTATTCCATGTTTCAGATAAAAAACTTTTTATATGAAATTCAATTTTTTTTGCTTTCCCTTTTTTCCCAATATTCATAATTTTGTTTCTGACCTTTAATTGAGGGAATCTGAACTCGACCAGCCAAATGTTTACCATCAATACCAGAACAGATTTTAAAATGTCTACTCTTTTTTATTAATAATATTTGAACTATTCATTTACTTATAACTTAGTCTATTTTGGAAAAAGCAAAGCATCTTCAAATTCTTAGCACAGACGCTACAAGGGGTTAAGGGACATTAGCTTTCTAAATATTTTATGGAGTCAATTTATGCTTCACTACTCTAACATTACTGCTGAGGTTTTTCTTTGCAATACATTCTTTTTTTGGTAACATTTGTTATATATTATAGAGGCTGTATTTTGAAATATAAATTAAGTTAGAAATAAAGAGGTCCCTTTTAAGATGTACAAAATTAAGCTACATGGATGCCTGTCAGAAAGTATTTCTATGTAAGAGCTCCTTTAAAGTTTTATGCTTTAATTCATATAATAATTTCTTAGATGTGCTAATTTCATACTGTTTCTGTGAAATCATCAGGAGGGAATTTTGACAGCTCTTTTGATGCAGAGAAGGGTGTTGGGACAATTGTCATTGCAAAACCTTTGGATGCAGAACAGAGGTCCATCTATAACATGAGTGTGGAAGTCACCGATGGGACAAATGTTGCTGTCACTCAGGTAAGATTAAGTTACTGAATAGCAGGAATGCAGAAAGACCTGCCAAAGTAAAAATTGCAAGCAATGAAAAACGTGTCTGGGAAGTAGTAAATTATGTCCACAGATTTCTAGTGTTCAAAAAAAAAATCATTTTCAAGAACAAACTAAAAACAAAGGGCTCTGTCAATGACATTATATCACTTAACTGCCTTTTTAAAGAAATTACGAGTGTTCATGCATGAAAGAATGAGACATATTTGTTTCCTTATCAGTTACTGAAAGTTTATCTCTTTGACAGCAAATCAATTTTCCTTGAATTTGCAAAGATGAGTTTATCTATGATGTCTGCATTGACACTCCATGAGATTCTTCACCTCCTTATTTTTTCAGTCACAAAAGTTAAAGCTAGAGAATATCTAAAAGTCCAAATTTCACCTTATAGAGATTGATGTTGTTATGGTTTGGGTATGTGGTATTCCCCAAAAGCCCATATGTGAGCCAATGCAAGAATGTTCAGAGGTGGAATGATTAGATTATGAGAGCTGGAACCTATTTGGTGGATTAGTTAACTTGAGTAGATTAACTTGAATAGAGTAACTGGAGGCAGGTAGGGTGTGGTTGGAAGAAGCAGGTCACTGTGGGTGTGCTTTTGGGGTTTATACTTTCTCCCTGATGGGCAGAGCACTCTCTCTGCTTCCTGGTTGCCATGTCCTGAGCTGCTTTCCTTTGCCATGACCTTCTACCAAGATGTTCTGCCTTACTCAGACCCAGGATTATGGAGTCAGTCAACCATGGACTGAACCTCTGAAACCCTGAGGCAAAATAAACTTCCTCCTCTGAGTTGTTCTTGTCAGGTTATTTGGACACAGAAATATAGAACTTACTAAAATATACATTATCTGTGCAAGGTCACATGGCCCTAATAAAGAACAAGGTCTGGAACCTAGGTATCCCATTCTCCTGCTTCTAACATCTGTGCCAGTGATCTTTCTCCTGGCTACATAGTAGGATCTCCTGGTTGTCGGTGTGAAGTGAAAACAATGATGTCTGGGACCCATCTCCAGGGATTCTATTGATTCCAGCGTGCAGTCAAATGTGGGGACTGCTTCTTATACTCTGCTTCTTGAGTCCGTGTTAAAGGGCATTGAAAGTCAGAAGTGAATAATCTCCAGGCTTCTCATATGGTTCAGTACCTCTTCCTAAATATGACTAACACAATGCTGGACATCAACATCAGACAATTTGAGATAAATATGTTTTGTTTTATTTTTATCACCAGAGATCTAGCACACTTATGGTAGAGGTCTGGAACACATGCCTATGCTGTAAACCCCTGTCTTTCTCTCTGCTTCTTTCTGCTGTTCCCATCGTCCAAAAGACATCATTAATTGATCAAAGCCTTTTCCCCTCCTGAGACCAGATGTATCCTCAGGAACTTTCTCAACACAATGCTTCAGGTACTGAGGTTGAAATTTTTGTTAACCTGGAAGCAAGCATTAATTTATTTTAAATGTTACATAAGCTTTTATAAGTACACACTGATAAAAGGGGGAGAGAGAATTTCATGTTCATGTCTAGCCAACTGCATTGCAATCGGAAGCTGTTTTGAAAATATTATGAGACTCTTTCCTTTAAGTTTGTTAGTAATTGTAGAATGGTAGAATTTGAAGGAAGCAGCAGAATTCATTTTAGAACAATCTCTTTACTTTTCATTTGAATATACCCAGAACAGGGGTGTGACTTGCACATGTTGAGAAAGCCAGTGTGTGACAGTTTCACATCCTCCAACCTATGTTACTTCCTTGTACCTGGGATGATCATATGACCCCGTTTGCCTTAAAGAATGCCATCTGCCCCTGTTGCGCTGGCATAATCTTCAATAATACCCCATTCACTCTCAAAATTGCCCCCATTGGGACAATAACTTATATGGTCTTCCTACCAACCATCCTGCCCCAGGGTATTTTCAAGATTTAATCTAGATCTATACAAAGGTGATCCCACAGAAAACACAGTCTTATTTCCTGCCCTGAAGACTAACATAGAATAACTCACCTGCAGAATTGCTACATCTTTAGTGCTAATTCATTTTGTAAATTTAAATTAGATTTTTAAAATTAGCTACTTCTCAGCATATCCAACCTTAACTTTTTATTGCCCCTTAAAAATCCAAGATATATTTGAGTAAAATACAAATCAAGCATAAAATCATATTCATTTCCAGAATTTTCTCTGTTGTTTTATACTGGTTGAAATAAATGATATTCAGTGTGCCCAGAATGTTATAGATATTCATTAAGTAATTTTAGTGTAAGTGAATGAACTGTAGACATGACACATCAGCAGGCTCTGTAGGAATGTAGTCTGTATCTCAGAAGCATACAACTGACTAATGTTAACAACAAAAAAAAAAAGAAAGAAAGAAAGAAGAAAAAAATTTAACAAAACTTTTATTTTAAAATTCCATTAGGACCAGATGAGAAATCACTTAACAGCAGTTGTTCCACAAGTACTTCTTAAGTTCATACATATGCTTGCAGCTGTACTTGGTGTCTGAGATCAAAATGATACAGTTGTTGTTGTTGTTTTAATTTTTAAAATGTACTTTTTAAATTTAATTTACCAATTAATTTGTTTATTTTGAAATGAGGTCTCACTTCATTGCCTAGGCTGGTCTTGAACTCCTGGGCTCAGATGACCCTCACCTCAGCCTCCCAAGTAGCTACGACTAGAGGTGTGCGCCGCTGTAGCAGCTAGTGATGTAGAGTTTTAAATGTAGATGTCTCATATGCATTCATTTAAACATGAAGCATATATTGCAAGACTTTGAAAGCACCCATTATTTGAGTCCCATTTTGTTGATTTTATTCCAGACTAACATATAGTTAGCCTTTTCAAAGGAATTGGAAAATTAGGATGAACTTGCAAGTCCCCCTTGGTAGGGCCAAGCTAAGGAGGTTAATAAAGAGTATCGAGAGATTTCTTGGCAAAAGTATCTCAGTCAATTTCTAGAAGCATTACCTTCTTAAGTAAGAACTAATAGTTTCTAAAATATAAACTTTTGAGTCATCATTATGTTATTGTCATCAGAAAACCACCTTCCAAGCCTCTGCTAATCGAGGCCTCTCTCACATTGACCAGGGCTTCCCGGCTGTGGTGACAAGCATGAGGCTCTGAATTAGGCAATACCATTGATGTCAAGGACATTTTGACAAAGGCATTCTAAATTTCTTCTAGAAACCATTAATACATCTTCCAATGAATGACCCTGGGCAATTTAATGATTCCACCATCAAGCAGAGAACCTTCTCCACTTAACTAAGTATATGTTTTGGAGTCCAAACCACTTGTTCAGTAACTTTTTGGGATATCTTCTTTTTCTTTTGGGATGATACAATATAGTGTGATCTACGCTTCAAAACAGCCATAAACAACATGCTTAATTTTACTTCACAAATGTCCAGTAACTCAGAGCCTGAGGGATTTGGTGTCTACTTGAGAACCTTTCCTTCATCTTCAGTTTCTTCCTGTTCTCCCAATTCTCTCAGGATTCTTGTGCCTCAGAATACAATATCTGATGACAAATAAATACCTCACCAAGATTGCCTAGTGTGAGTACAGAATATAAAAATTATGGATTTCAAGTTTCAGAAAAAGCATTTACAGAAACCTCCTGGCAACACAAAGTCTTATGCATAAAACAGGTTTTAAAGAATTTTTGTGAAAGACATTATTATACTTTAAAATATAACATAGAATAAAAGTGGACCCCATGTTGATGTCATGGAGGCCTGGAAATGTGGGGTGTCTGGCTTAGAACAGGTCAAAGGGTTGAGGGAGGCAGTACTGTCTGTGCATCTGGTTAGAGATGAGATGAGGAATCACAGGGGCACTGGCTATTCTAGACAGGTGAGGAGTGGGCAGTCAAGTGGAATCAGGGCCCATAAAGAGCAGAGATAATGAAAGGCCAGAGGAGGTGAGATTACCACCCCACCAAACACAAAGGAACACTACAAAATTTAAGAGGAATTCTATCCTAGTTCCCAGATGGTGCTCTTTACATTTCATTTACCTGGAAAGGAACCAGGATTTCTTGTAGAAATAGCAAATTCCAGGTTTAAAGCAGGAGTGTGGGGCAGACTGCTTTTTATGCCAGAAAAGCCTAGTGGAGTGATATTGAAAGTGACAAAAGGCAACTTGAATTGGTTTCCACTAGTCAAAGATGGAAACTGATTTCAGTCTCAAAATTACTTCATGAGGCAGCTACTTTTGTTACAAGGAGAATGACCCTCCTCTTCTCCAGAGATGTCCACATCATAATCTTTAGGATTTTGATGTGCTATATTTCATGGCAAGGGGGCCTTTGAAGGTTAATCAAGGTTACAGATCTTAAGATAGGGAGAGGATACCGGAGTATCCAAGGAGGCCCAATCAAATCACAGAAAAGAGGTGGTAAAGCCAGAGTAGAGATTCTAAGTGTGAAAAGGATTTGAGACATCATTACTAGCTCAAACATAGAGAGGTAACAGACAAGGAGTACAGGCAACCTTACAGAATTGGAAAAGGTTCTCAGCTGACAGCAAGCGAAGAAAGAGTGACACCAGTCCTAGAACACAAGACACTATATTTGATCAATAACCTGAGTGAATTTGGAATAGACTAATTTTTAAGCAGTTCTAGCAAGGAGCACATTTGTATCAACCCTTGATTTGGGCCTTGAATTCAGGCCTGCAAGACCTGAGTAATAATAATGCATGTTGTTTTAAATTTCTAAATTTGTGGTGACAGTTTATGTGGAAATAGATGTCTATTCCACTGTTGTCACCCATTTTATCGTTAGGGAAATAGAGACAAAGCAAAGTTAAATAACCTGAGTAGATGATGAGCAATCTACCCAGTCAGTAAGTTTCCTGAACCTGCTCTCTTAACCACTACGATGTTGTCTCTCAAAGGCAAGATTAAATCTCTGATATCTGTTCTAAGAAAGGCATATTAGAGGAACACATTTTAAAGATAGCCTC